AACAATAAGACCAGCCAAACTAGTCCCTAAATTTGAATAATGATATTCTTTTCCAACATGGACAACCACTAGTGAGTACAGGCCAAATTCAACAATGGATGAACGACAGTCATATACCCGGATTATCAATGATAGTTATGAATCAACATCAAATATTATATCAGGATAGTTTAGGTTATGCAGGTTATAATTACGATTCTGAAACGGATCGTGTTATTGGATTTTCAACACAAAATGATAATATTTATATGATCGGTTCAATAACGAAAACGATAACATGTATTAGTGTCATGCAATTAGTCGAACGTGGATTAATTAATTTAGATGATGATATTAATAAATATTTACCATTACCGATAGTAAATCCGTATTATTCAAATGAAACAATAACGATGCGACATCTACTGACACATACATCATCAATTGGTACAACTCATCCAGGTTTATCCGTCTTGCCCAACGATCAGTATTCAACAATAAATTTTACGAATTTTATTTATGGTGCTTTGCTTGAAGGTGGTCCATTTTACAGCGAATTTTCCTGGTTGAAAGTCCATGTTGGAAAAGAATATCATTATTCAAATTTAGGGACTAGTTTGGCTGGTCTTATTGTTGAAATTGTTAGTAATATGGATTTTAAAGCATTTACCACAAAATATCTATTTGAACCATTGAATATGTCCAGTGACACATTTTGGTTGATTGATTCATTAAACACTAGACAAAAACAATTATTAACAAATCATCATCTTTTCAATGCTTCGATTGATGATTTCAGATTTTTCTTTCCATTTTTAAAATTTTCAGAATTTTTCATTGATTCAGAACCATTGTCAAACATAAGTTGGATAAATGTTACCGAACGATTTGGATTATTAATGCATCCTGCAGGTCAGTTGCGTACATCCGTTACTTCGTTGGCAAAACATTTATTAATGTTTATCAATAATGGAACATATAATGGTATTCAAATATTGAAATCTGAGACTGTCAATGAAATAAAAAAGATTCAGTTTCATACATCGACATCACTGAAGGTCGGTTTGATTTACACTTATTTTGATTTCAAAATAACAAAAATGCGGACTGTACTTGGACATAATGGAGGATTTATTGGAGTAAATTCATGGATGCTCATGAATCCCGATACAAATATTGGTGTTATTGTCTTAAGTAATGGAGATGTTGTGAATTTTAATCAGTATCAGTCCAATAAAGTTACAACAGCACTAATAACAATTACAAACTATTTGTTTGATGTTTTTGAAACTACAGCTTAATGCCCAATAATTTTATTATGTTGCGAGTATTACATTGGCAAGACTGGTGCTATCAACAGACTTCAATAATTCTTTTTATTTTACTGTTCCACTCTTTAAGATTATGTATGATATCTCTTTGTTAAATTTGAAGGACTCCAACAATTGAGTCACTTATAGCTGCTCACTCTCACCCCCACTCACTCTCATCCCCACTCGCCCTTACCCCACATAGCCTCACCCTCTAGAGATCTCCAAATAATTCAGTTCATAATCGGACGACAAAAAGATTGTTCTCGTCATCGTTATTAATTGTTATCGAAGTGAATAATCATTCGACTTTCCTGATCGGCAAAAAGTCATATTGAAAAGTGTCTAATGTCGGAGTCGCTCAAATGTCGGTAACTTTCACATGTTACGCTTTATCCGTTATGAAATGATAGTCAATCCATGATGATTAAAAAGATGATTTGAAACTGCCAGAAGTATTGCAGAGCGTTTTCTGGAACTAGTTTGTTCGTGCTTATCTTAATTCCCTTTGATAATCAAAACTTACCTAGTTAATAGATGAACCAGAAAAGACCGATCAATTTTATTTTCTATTTTTGGGGCATTTCTCTGTGGTTTTTGGATAATGGTTGACCCTAAAATGATGCGATTAGTTATGTAGCTTTTTTTTGCATGTATAGCACATGGTTCCAAGACTTCGTTCTGCCTTCGGAAGATATAGAGAATTTCCTGCACTATAAAACTCTCTATATCACACACCTAGTTCACAAAGCCAAGAACACTTTCACATCGTGAATGTTACCTACGACAGAATGTCTGGGACAATAGTGTCATTCCGGTAAAAAAAAAATTTCCTACTGAGAATCAGGTTTCACCGTCAAAGGCTGAAACGCAATTTTATTTCAGTATTCAAGTGTTGTGCAGCCTAACAGAATTTTGATAGTTGTAGTTAGTTAATAATACCAATACCCAAACGGTGTATGGTGAAGATCACAAGAATATGGTTATGATAAGAACAAAAAACAAAAAAAAGCTTTTAGATGTAGCAAGACGGTACAAAATTGTTCAATTCAGTGGCTGATGAAAGTTAGCTTGTCGTTGGTCATATACCACTAAAAGTCAAGTTCAGACTACCACCTCCAAGCTACTAAAACTCGGTTTAAGCGACGCTCATCATAAACCTGAAGTAACACAGACCAGCTTTTTCGTCAATTCCATAGTTGTAACATTGTACGTTCCACTTTAAAAACCATTATCCATATACCACTTCTTCGCGCATGATCTAACTTGGCCGGTGATGCCCTGAGGTTTGAATGACCTTGCACATAATGGACAATCGTACGTACCATTGATATGTTTCTTCAACAGCTCGGTGATTTTCTTTTTAGCTAAGGTATTCTGGGTCGTTACTCCTGCTGTTGTTGTTGTTGGAGTTACTGACTGGCTGTTGTTTTTACAATCGCATGTTCGTTGATGAATTAGGACACCTTAATCGTTTTTGTATGTTCGTCTACACTTAAGACACACACTTAGTACTGGGGTACTGAGAAAGACAATCGGTTGAGCAGCTGACGTGTCAAGTGTTCCTGACCATTGCTCTCCTCTGCTTGCCTTTTCTCCGCTCGCTCTTTGTACTGCTGGAGGACCTGGTTCAAATGTTGATCGACGACTTTCTGATGGGTATGCTTATTGATTAGCTGTCTCCATTTTGTTCTTTGCGCTTCTTCTCCAATCGGAAATCTCTAATTTCGAGGGCTTACAATTTATTAAGAAAATAATAAATTGCGCCGTTTCTAGAATAAATGGCTTATCCACACTTTTTTCCGAATAAATGGCTATACAGTTTAAGGTATTTACGCTAAAACTTTCAAACATCTGGCGTTTTATATGTTAAGAAACCGTTTCTTTAGAAAAGCTATTTCGAAAAATGCTGATGAACCGTTCCTGCTACGACGGACGAATTTTAATAATGAAAGGATAACACTTTTTGAGTCTCTTTCTGCTGTTTTGTAAGTTCATCATATTAAAGAACGTGAAACTTTCAGCGTTCGTTCCCTACCATGAAGTCTATTGGCGGTAAAGCGTTTATTATTCAAGAGCTAGACAAGGATCTGTAGTATACTGAGCGTTGAACACTGGTTTAGTTACACAATAATTAAAGGTGGTACCTTAATTAGACTGCCAAAAGTCAGATACAAAAAATGTGCTCAATCCTACAAAACTCATTGAACGACTACAAACGGCTAGAAACATGCCTTAATGTTCAGTTTTCACTTTGGTTGACCAAAAATTGTGAGTTTAAATCAAACGAAAGTTGTTATTCACAACAGAAAAATGTATGGAAGTTTAAATTAGTAGATAGATGTGCGGCATATTAGTTGCTACAACATCTTTAATTATTAGCGAGTTGAGCAATTTTTCCATGGGATTAGTCACTCATCTGGTAATAAAAAGTAAAATGAGTTATCATAAAAGTAATAAAAGGAAGGTATCTATACTAGAGAACTCCAAGGCTGAAGAGGTTTTTTTCCTTTGCTTTGTATTATTGTGTGAAGTTATCCGTTCCCTTATTTAACTTCACCTCTAGCGTATTTGATTTAAGGTCGACTACAAAAAGTCAGAGTAGCTTTATTACTAGAGCTAGACATTTAACTATTTCGTCTTGATAACTCATATATTACCAATAGTGAGCTCGTGGACAAATTTCGAATAGCTGAGGACAGGTTTATATTAGCAAATCCCGTTGATTTATAAAATTTCGAATACGTTTTATACCATTTTAGAGACCAGTGTCGGTGTTCTACGTGTATTTTTCCAAGGCACTGATGTATATCAAATACACAAAAAACTGTACAAATACATTTAGACTGGAATGATGACAAACTATTACCGATACTTTCCTAAACATCAGGAGCACTGTTTATCGTTTGATTTATCGATTCCATTAGAAAATTATGTACTTTTTCCGCGCTGCACCAAATTAGGTAAAAATTGGGCGCTAGGTGCAAAATTTTTCGGTGAATCCGACAGCGGGTTCCTTATAATTATACTTTGACTTCTTTTCTGGTGTCGACATAATCTACGTGATTTTTGCCTAAATTTTATTTTTACTTAATAAAAAAATAAAATTACTTTTATTAAAATTACTTTTTTTTCAACCAATGAGAAAAATAAAATTTAGGCAAAAACCACGTAGATTATGTCGACACCAGAAAAGAAGTCAAAGTATAAGTATAAGGAACCCGCTGTCTGATTCACCGAAAA